CCAAGCCTCGATTGTTTCCCTGGCTATGCGATCGTTTCCCCGGCCCAGAATTTCGGCATGCTGAAAGGCGAACGTGTGTCCGGCATCGGCGCAGTGTTCGGCCACCAGAGACAAAGGGTCCATTCGCCTTACTGCTCTCATGTGTTCCCCAACACGAGTCTGTAGCCGTTTGCCGGTCTCCCCAATGTAGTTGACTTCGCAGGAGTTACACCGGATCCGGTAGATGACGTTCGTGGTTTCACCTAGTGGCAGAGCGGCCTTAGGTCTCATGACCAGATGTCGAATTGTTGACTCCGGTCGGTGGGCGATGCCGATCCCCAGCGGTCTTAAGAGACGCGAGGCGGCCTCAGAAACGCCGTCGATGTATGGAAGCGCCCGCCATATTGTTGGTTGTTCTGTCACCAAACGTCGGCTCGGTCCGGTCTGTCTGCCGCGTTCGATGAAGTTGCGAGGATATCCGTTGGCCATGAAGAGGCGCTGGAGGTAGCGTAGTTCTGACCTTCTGTCGTCCGGCTCGCTGCAGTGTGTTTCTGCCCTTCTGTAGAGTGTTCGCACACAACTGCGTTTGTGGCCTAACGGGTGCTTACTGTGGAAGCTCAGGATTTGGCGCGTATTAGTGGCCTTCCTATATACCGTCGTTTTAAGGTGCCCATTGGGTTTTCGATGGACGAGAACGTCCAGGAACGGGAGTTGATTGTTGGCTTCCGCCTCCATCGTGAACTGGATGTCAGGGAAAACGGAGTTCAGAACATCATGGAATTCCTTGACCATTTGCCGCTCAATGATAACGAAGGTATCATCGACATATCGAGCCCAAAATTTCGGCTTATAGGTTGAGAAAACGAGGGCCTCTACTTTTTGGAGAACTGCCTCTGCGGTGAAGCCCGAAAGCGGCGATCCCATTGGCGTCCCCTTGACCTGCTCGTAGGTCGTGCCTTCAAAGGTAAAGTACGTCTTCAGGCAGAATCTCAGCAATTGGACGAGATGTCTCCTTTTTACCGTCACGTCCGTCTCGTCGTACTGACTCTCGAGCAGCTCGCTGACCGTTTCGATTGCCAGGTCTTGCGGGATCGAGGTGAAAAGAGAGGTGACGTCGAATGACACCATGACCTCGTCTTCGGTAAGTCTCATCCCTTTGATCCGCTCCAGGAACTGAGTCGCTGAACAGACCGTCGTGCCCGCGTCCGCGGTGAGGGACCTCAGGTTTCGGAACAGCCATTTGGCCACATTGAATGTAGGTGTGCCGCGCAATGATACGACTGGCCGGAGGGAGACCCCGGTTTTGTGTACCTTTGGTAGTCCGTAGAACCTTGGTGCGGCCGCGTCTACTGGCTTAATGGCCAGTCGTACCGATTTACTTATTGCCTTGCTCGTTTGCATGTCGGCGAGTGTCTTGTCCAGTTGCATCACCAGCCTCCTCATCGGTTCATCGTTACATGGTAGGTAGGCCTGTCGGTCCTCCAGTAGGGCATTGGCCTTCTGAATGTAGTCTGCCTTATCCATCACAACTGTGGAACGCCCTTTGTCTGCTGGTAGAATCACGATGCTGGTGTCAGCCCTCAGTGTCTTGAGAGCGCTCTGCTCGGCCTTGGTAATAGTTGCACGCGGTTTGTGTGACATCGCCAAGGAGGCTACCTGCTGTCGAATGAGATGCTTTGTTTCGTCGGATTCCCCGGTTTGTTTGAGAATCGACTCTACCGTGGCCACGCGATTGACTGGATCGGCGTCTGTGGTGTTGAAGCAAGCCTCATGACTCAGCACTTTCATTTGTGCAGGAGTCAGCTGCTTAGAGGACATATTGTGCACCAGGACTTCGTTCTCCTCTTGAGATGATTTGCTTATGCTTTGGAGCTTGACCGCCAGCTCGGGATCTCTCGTTGCTCGCAGGTTCCGGGCCCGTTTATTAATCACTTGTTGCAACTGCGCGACTCCGTCATCACCGATGAGTTCGACGCACTTTGTTACCGCCTGGCTCAAAACCCTGTTGTATTTACGCAGTCGAAGATGGCAATCTTGGAGAAGCGCCCGAATCATTCGTCTGCCATGTTCAGCCACCCACCGTTTAGCCAGACTTGTGTTCACCGGTGGCCTGTACGACAGGCTCTTCGGAAGCACATGATTGTCAAGGCATCTGTGGAGGAATTGTATTTGCGCGTACGTAGAAGACACACGAAGGGTGAGTATTTCCCAACGTCGTGCAGACTCAAGCGCTTCGCGCCCGAAAATATTGCTAATAGAAGCGAAGATGCGCGTCCCCGGACATAAATGAGAAGAAAAGGCGATCTCGGGAACCATTGTTTTACTGTCCTGACGTTTCAAAAGCATACAAGCTTCCATCGTCGGAGGTGAGTGTGGTATCGCGCCTCACAGTATTTATAGGTGGGTGAAAGTCATGTCAAAACGGGTTTTCTTACATATGAAGTAAGGGCGGCAGATATATATATATATATATGAGGTGATGCCGACAAAGACAAGGGAGACCGGAATGGCCATTTCTGGCTTATTCGCAGTCATCAGCCAGTCACACCCAACCCCAAGTGTGGATCACCTGAGATTCCAACCCGGGATCTTTGGTCATGGAGTTTGACGCTCTGCCAATTACCAGGCCGAAGTCGGCCTTGCTGTTATTAGGACTTGGCCGACTTTGGCCTGGTAACTGGTTGCCTGTTCGTGACCTTTGCCACCCATACGGAGCTTGTTTGCTTCGTGAAGCCAATAGATCGGTGTGCGCCCATTCCTGATTGAATAAATACCCGATCTACAGCGACAGAGAATGACAGGTGGCGAGACATTGATGAACTTCGTTTCGATGAAGTGCTTATGACCCATCTGGTAGACCCCAGTGGTGGATCAACTGCGCCAGGTGCGTCTGTGCGCATGTTTGTGTTTCTGGTCCCAGCTGCTGGTGGTCAGGGTTATGATTGGCTGAATGAAGGCACAATAAGCCCGAAACAGTATTGTATCAATCTACCCGCATTCTCTGTCGTCCCTCCTTGCTGCTATATATATATATATATATATATATATATATATATACTAGCTGAACCCGACCACGCTTTGCTGTGGCTCACTGGGAGTGAAATGAAAAAGAAAGAAAAGAGGATTGCGGCATGTTTCTAACATGTTTTATGTCAAAATTCTTGTGGGTATACAATGTGTTTTGTCGTTGTGTTGTCTGTGCAGATATGAAGACTGTCTGGTTTACCGACTCTGGAGCACGAAACTTGCAGTTGTTCATGTGAGAAACAATCCGTTTGCAGATCCAAACCGCACAACTCTAAAAATAGACCCCGGGCTTTGTTTGATGGTGATTGCAAACGCCAATCGAATCGAGAATTGCAGTCTCCTAAACTGAAATGGATTGTCAGCTGGAATCAGTGGAATGTGAGGAATAAGGAGATGTTCACCTTTGAAAGGTCCTTTCAAGGTAGTTGCGCCCACAATGTTGCTGCCTTAATTTTTCTATTGCAAGCCGCGTGCCGTTGCAAAGATTCGGCTGGTTGTTATTTCGCAGCATGATAATCAGCACGCCGAGTTTCAATTGCAGTACATGCGGCAGCATCCCTGGCAGATCAAGCGAATTCAAAAATTTTGTGGAATAATTATCTGCCTCGTCCGCTTCCACAACAAAGTTGACGGACGTGTATGTGACTTCCTTGCTTTGAATCGTAGATTGAATAATGCAGTTAAGTCGGAAGACATCTTTGTTCTTGCCATCAGGAACAGCTCGATCGCACAGCCAATCCTGATGGGTGTAATTGGTCTGAATGATGAGAAGCACCTTTTCAACCAATTCTACTTTTGACGACAGTAAATTACCGAAGGTAAGAGGTAGCGAAATGTGCCCTGAAGTCGGATCAATCGGCACCGCTCCGTCCTCCATTACCAGCAGTTGGTGTAAGAATATGTCAGTTGATCGGTTGTTTTTCAGCCGGACACGCATGTTTGTACTTAATTTTACAGTCTGGGCTTGGCGCCACAAAGTAGAGGATTTCAGAGTAAATGTGCCGACAACAGTTAAAATCTGGCAATGCACTTTAAAATCCATACTTCTTCGGCGCTTGCGCCAGTGAGCGGCCGCTATCTGCGTCATTCTGTTCTGATTTGTTCTTGTCTCTTCCACTTCTCCTTGAAACTTTTGTACGCGGCGTCCAACTCGACGTGCCGGTTGATACATG